GTTACTATATTCATTTTTGGTGATTTTACATTATTATTGTGAATTTTGTTAAGTCCAACTTAAAGAAATGTTCTCAAGACTGTCATCCTTGTATTTAGATTGTGTGCATGTAGTATGTCACTGCTTATGGCATACCTTAAATTGAAGGCTTAATTTTTCTGCAAGATTCTCAGTGTATGTAACCTGGCATAGGTAGTTAATGATTTTATTATTTGTCATTCCAAGGAATTGTTGATTTGATTTTTTAATATTACAGAAAATATAAAATATCCAGAAAAATTGGGAAAAACAGAAAGTATATGGAAGTGTACAAATAACCCCAAAGGCAAGTGTAATTTAAGGCAATCAGTTGCCTAGATTGTCTTAACAGTTTTTTATGATGTACACTTAGCTGTCCAATTCATTTACAGCCTTCTTGGTTTGATCGTGCTCCTTTTCTGGGTTCTCCTTCCTTTTTGTTAAAACCTGAGTTTCTGCCTTCATAGTCTTAATCCTTGACGATCACAGGTAATAACTGGTAACATTGGTTTAACCAAAAATAAATTGGAATATCTGAAATCATAACATGTGGTTATGCTTTTGGAGCTTAGATGGTGTTAATCAAGCAATTGACTTGCAATACAAATACATCTCCTGCAATGAACAATGTAAATCACAACTTTGCAGTTAACCAAACACTGGATTTTGGTTTGGAGATACATTTCCTACAATAAAAATGTAGATGCCCAGGTGGTGGATTTCAGGTTAATTTCCTACAACAAATGTTTCCTATGACATTTTCTGCATTGCAACTTCTGTTGCACGTACAGCCCATAAAAGTGCCATCTCATCTTCTTTTATGGACATGTTTTCATATGTTGCCATTGATTTCTCTTTATGCTTTTTCTACAAACATTATTGATATGGGCTTTTGTATTTTGTATGAACAGGTTCGATGCTTGTACCTGAAGAGCACCATGGGCAAGCCCTTTAGGGTGTTCTAAGCAGGATTCAAAAACTTAATCTGGAATGGAGATATCTGAACTTTTCTTGAGAGTAACACCTATCGTTTTACTGCACTTTTGAACTTGATAATTGTGGAAAGGAGATGCCTGTGATGTTTTCTGTTAGACTCGGTCTGTTATTTTCTTAGTAGAGCTACAATCCTGTCAATTTTACTATACCCTTTGCGACCTTTATTGTCTACGAGATGAGTTTTTGAGTGTTGGGTATGGTATCAGTACTATGGCAATATATGTTGAATGTTTTTAGCAAAAGCGATGGCTTGTCGATAAAGTGTTGCTATAGAGTTATCTCGTTTCACTTGAACCTGATATTAGTTTGATTCTCTGTGATATTTTACTGTCTCGTGTGTCTATATTTGATTAAAGTTCCTTTTTTCCCCCTTAACGGTGGTACGAACTACACTGCCAATTTCATGATGGCCCATAAATTGGTGTTGCGTTCGATCTGTCCATCTAGCGGACATTTTTTGACATAACCCTATAGGTGAATATTCATGAGACAAACTTTGAATTTTATTGCTAAAACATCTGTTTTTTATTGCTATAAAACATCTGTTTGATGCTCGCAAATACTTGGAGCAGACAATTATATACATACTGGACACTTATCTATTTAGGGGGCACTTGATTACTTATATCATAGAGCAGTGCACCATTAGTTATTATGCTTCCAACTATGCTGTTAATTATGTTATTATTATTGCATTAAAAATCTTATTGATCATTATTTACTGATATTTCTACATGGAACTTTTGTTGGTCATATATCCAGTGGGTTGGCAATGTGTTCGCAAACTATCATTTTTGAATGCACCTATTTCATGATAGGAGAGCAAACTATAGATGATAGTTATAGCTCAAACAAATATGTTAACGCGTTCCAAAATGTCATATGTCGAGGTGCAAATCCTCAGATTCATACTTTAAAGGCCACTTTCAGGCAGTGTATCCTGAACAGAGCAAGCATGCATAAGAATTCGAACGTTGACAATTAATAGCTCGAGGTATATACCGATGTCATTTCACACTTGTTTGTTGAATACGAACAATAGATAAAAACTAAATTAACCAGACAGGAAAAAAGGTTCCTGATAGTAGAAGCTGCAGTTTACTCTGGAACTAGTCGTTCGAATCTCTGTTGCTGCTTCATTTATTTATTAGTCAGAACCATGAGCTATTCTTTTCTGTCAAAAGGGAGGAGCTGGCGGCGGAGGAGCAAATAAATGACCGCAACACTCTTGTACGAGGAAGCAGCAACACAATGCATAAAAGCTGCCAGCGACGAAATACACCAGTAAAAAGTTTAGTACATTCACTCACCAAATAGGAAGAAATAAGGCCTAAAGTTTGACAGGCACTCACCAAGAAGAGAAGGGGCCACAAATATCACAACCCCAACCAGGTCCCGGCCACCAACCGGGTCCTGGTGGACCTGGTGGCAGATGAGCCCAACCGGCGCCATGTCCAGGCCCAGGAGGTCTGCCAGGTCCCATACTTATTTTTCTGATGATATGATCTGATATGTCGACGTTCAGGCTGCAGCGACCAAGTTTATATAGTCATAGTAGCAACGTAAGTTCACCAAATATTCAGAGTTAGATGAACGAGTCTAACATTCAACACGAGACATAATCTCAACTTACCAGTCTCCGTGGACTTCAACTACCCTTTCCTTGAGTTTCATCGCTCTGATGACTGCAGGAAAAAATGTGGAGCGTGAACATATTGATACATTAATTTATGGGATTGCATGTATATATTGATTATACACCAAGTTGCTGAACCCCAACCAACCACCTTAAGTGTATGACAACTGCGTTCCGAAAACTGCTAATTATGAGTTCAGCTGAGGCACCATGGTAGCTAGGATCATCATCATGATATAATTGGAAGCGTTACTGAATAGTTGGGTTTCAACCAAAATGATGAAATAAGTAGGACATATAATAAATTGACAAGAAATGCAACAGTTCTATTGTTCCCGATAATCTCATTGTCATGGTCACCTGGCTTTACGGTGAAACTACTCAACGGTTAATTGTTTACTGGGTATTTGGTCGTCTAAGGTTTATACAAACCTAAAACAAGAGACTTTGAAGCACCGGCTATCCAATTTACGTGATCCACTTGACCCACTTGATGGTTTCTGGTCTTTTATCAGACCGAGTTAGAGAGAGCAAAAATCCGTGTTGTGGATATTTCGGAAACATTGGTAAGTTTTTTGCAACCTAGTGCAGGACTGTTGAATCGTTTTAAGTTTTGCTGACAAATTCCTCACTAGTACAAAACAGCTCTGTCCAAACGGTTATTATAACCGTTTGGAAGGGTGTTTTCCCAAACGGTTTTAACCGTTTGGGCTGTCCTTAAAACCGTTTGGGCTGTCCTGTTTTGTACTAGTGCCTGGTCTACGAGCACAAGAAGTTTGCTAATAACCTAGTAATTTTTTTAATAGGGAGAATGGCCGTAGCCTACCTAGTGAGCTAAACCGTAATTTGGAAAAACTTATCTTACGTGATAGTTATGCAATTTGCTCACTCCTTCAAGTAGCCATCTTCAAAAATTCTCTTTTATAAACATTCAAAAGGAATAAACATGACAAGTTTGCCTCACTTAAGCCATCAAAGAACCAAAGAAAAGCATGCAAAATATTCAAGTAAGCACTCGAAGTCGATCAGTATGCACCAAAAGAAGTCACAGCTCATTCCAGACATGAAAATAAAAACCCACCAGTTCATCTCGATAAAAATTCCATAACTTGAGACTGGCAGTTTTATCAAGAGGGGGGAGACTAGTTTTAGTCAACTCTGTTCTCTCCTCTATGCCAATTTTTTGGTTGTCCTTTTTATTTCCTGTGTGGCTCATAGACAAAATTGATAAAATGAGAAGAAGATTCTTGTGGGCTGGATCTCTTGATTATAAAGGCTCTTCTAATTTGGTTAAATGGGAGGAGGTTTGTAGACCTAAACAATATGGAGGTTTGGGGATTGTAAATCTAAAAATTATGAACAAAGCTCTGTTGGGGAAATGATGTTGGAAATGGTTTGATAATAAACTGGAACTCTGGGAGCAAATTAGTTTTTACAAGTACTTTGAGAGAAGAAATTGGACAGAATTTTTTTATTCTGGTAGAAACCTTTTAACACAGTTTTGGAGGAATTGTTTTGATAATATTAGAAGCTTTTTATGCAGTACTCATGTGGATGTGGGAGAAAGGAAACCGAACCTTATTTTGGCTTGATAAATGGGTAGGTTCTTTTACCCTTGCTTCGGTTTATCCTTCTCTTTTTAATATCACTTCTTTTTCTTTTGCTTCTATCAGTAGTGTGAGAAAGAAGGTGAATAATGAATGGACATGGAACATACAATTTAGAAGACAATTGACTGAAAATTTTGTTTTCCAATATTTCAAGTTGTTGAATGATATCATAGATTTAAACTTTGAACAAAGGGAGGACAAGAGAAAATGATTTGGGAAGCTAAAGGTAATTTTACAGTTAAATTTTACTACTATTTTCTTATTGATGGGGGTTTAAGATTTGATTGTGCAAATCTTTGGAAGCTTCATGTTCCTTTAAAACTGAAATTTCTTGTTTGGTTGGCTTTAAGACAAGGGCTAAATACAAAAGATAAGCTAGAAAAGAAAGGTATTCATTTGGATTTGATGTGCTGTTTATGTTCTAAAGAAGAGGAAAATCATTTCCATCTATTTGTGAATTGTGAGTTTGTATACTCTACATGGAGATCTATTCAATATAAATTGAATATTGATAAGGAATTTAAGTTGAATTCCTTAAAAGATATTTGGAATAATTGGAATATGGATAAGGGTGCTAGATGGAATGTGGAAAGAGATGTTACTTTATGTTCTCTTATATGGTGTGGCAGGAACGCAATGATAGAATTTTTTCAAACAAGAGGAAGAGAGCTCTGGAGATTTTGAGCAAAGTTTTGACCTTTTCATCATTTTGGTTAGGTTCTAAGCCTTTATCAGCTCGAACTGCCAGGCTTCAGGAGAGGAGAAGGAAAAGAGCTGCTGAAGGTCATTCTACAAATGATGCTGGAAGGCTTGCGAACACAGTGATTCAACTTGAATGATTTCTTTCTCCAGAATATTAAACTTGTTTTGTTTTCTGAGCTTTAAAATACTGTATGTAGTTAAAATGGTCTACTATTTTGTAGTGGTGGTAGTTGACAGTTTTTTCTCATGTTTGGGAAGGGGTAAAGCTTTTGTGGTGGAGCAGGAGTTTGCTTTTGGTCATTTTTGTGGTGGAGCAGGAGTTTGCTTTTGGTCATTTTTGTGGTGGAGCAGGAGTTTTCTTTTGGTCTGTAAATCCTGTTTGAACTCAAGTGCACATTCTTCTTGGTTGGGGATGTGTATATCTATGTAACAGCCAAGTTTCTTTAATTTAGCTGGCTGGATTGCTGTTATGATTAACAATAATCCATCCTTTCTCTCAAAAAAGACTTGAGACTCGCAGTAAAAACTTTATTGAGCATTGGAAAACGACATGATTATAGCACCTAACCTACTCACACAAATACTACTCAGCATCGTAATCCAAAACCTCAATAGTTGCAAGGGTCTCAGTCAAAATTAGGGTAAATTTCACTAAACCCCCAAGAACTTTTGGCTTTTTGCAGTAATCCGCTAATAACTTTCAAAATCGCACTTCTCCCGATAATTTTTGTGTTTTGCAGAAAACCACGAATAAGTTTCTTCATTTTGCAGACAGAAACTAGAAAAAAAAACATTTTAAAAGTTATTGGGGGTGTAGTGTAATTTATCCAAATGATATTACGGGTTTCTTACAAAAGTTAGTGGGAGTTTAGTCCGAATTTGAATACAAAATGCTCTGAAAGTTCCCGAGGGTTTAGTGTAATTTACCCTCAAAATTAATTCATAACTTAACCATCAACTTTTTAAAATTTTGTTGATTATCGGTAAGGTTGATGCTGATCATGATGCTGACGACTGTGTTTGAAAAAGACGGGTCATCCTTAGTGATGTACCAGTGAACTGTAGCTAAGAAGAGTTGCAACCTTTGAACAAATGTTGCCAAGTGGAGCCAAATCAAGAACAGAGATCTCTAGAACTGAAACTTCTGGTATTTGGATAGATAACATCCACGAAGATATGCGAAGATCTTCATTGAGGGCTTCTTTCCTCATTAACTCTGACTGCTAGGCTGCCAACGTGGCCTTTTGGTTGTTCAGAGAAAAATTGGATAAAAACGAACCAATATTATCAACTTTGTTTCTCCTAGGAAAGAAGGGGGAGAA